GCCTCACCCTGCGCCAGCCCGGTGGGCGGCGGTTGGGGGGGCTGGGCGAGCCTGCATCCCACCCAGGCCGCAGGCCGAGGCCGCGGTGCGCACGCGCGAGCCCCGTGGGCGAGGTCGGTGGCGCGGTTCTGGGTTCACGTCCCTTCCCCGGGGCCCTGGGACCACGTAGCACTGCGCATGCGTGCAGGCCAGGCCGAGGGTCCATTTTTGGCGTCGCCCCAAGCCAGGGAGCGACTCTAGGCTTCCGGCTTCCAGCTGGGAGGGGTGAAGGAAGGTGGATGCTAGACCCCGGGTCTCCATTCCTTCCCAGCACGCGGGGAGCTAGCAGTCCCGTTTCCCGATCTTTCCGCCCGGAACCGCCTCGCTGACTCAGTGGCGCCTCAGGCTTCAGGCCATAGGTCGCGAGGTGGAGGGATGGCGGGCAAGGCCTGGAGCTGCCCTGAGATTTCTCAGCCTGCTGCCTGTTGGGCTCTGCTTAGGCCGGAAGTGGAGGGGTTTAGAGGCTGCAAACTTTCCCGGTGCCCCTCCTTGGCGGAGATGGAACTTCCGCCTGAGTTGAAGACAGGTTTAGAGCCGACTTTTTGCCGTTGTTCTTTACAAGGTAAAGATTTAACCCAGACTGTTACAAAGGACACAAAAGAAAGATGCTTTCTAGCACACCCGGCGGTTGCCCTGAACGGGTGCTCGGTTACCTTAGGCCACTTGACGAGACGATAGTGAAAAACAGTCAATGTGGCCACGTTGGGAAGGTCCTAGCTTGAAGTTTAGGTGGAAATAGCGGACAAGAGATGTGCATAAGTGGGCCCGTCCAGGTGTGGACCCATCCTGTCTCAGCTCCATTCACAATTCCTTGGCATTCAAGCCTGATATTTGAAAGGGAGAAGCCCATTAGAATATCTTCCCTCCTGCCAGAACCGTTGCTTAGTGACTTAATCCCTGTCAGAGCCGAATAAAAGTGATCGAGTTCACAAACAGCCCTGTGGAACTTTGCAAGATCGCGTATGTTCTGTGTTAGCTGTTTAATGGTCGTTGGGTTCCTCTGTATTTGCTTCTTCCCAGTGAAGTCTGGCACCTTTCTGGGCACAGCGTGTAGTTAAGCCAGTTTCACTCAGAGGCCAGGGGCTGCTGTGGGGAGTGACTAACCATGCCGTTACTTCTGTGCTTGGTAGTCTGGTACGATGTGCTGGCGCAGACATTTTGGTGTCTGGACTAGAATAACGGCTTGGAGAATCCGAATGCATTGGATGAAATGTCACACAACATCTTTGTTTCTCATTAATAGCTGCCCCGTGCATGTTACCAGGTAGCAGAGCCACTAGAATGACGCCTTAAACACAACACTCCCACCATGCAGGCCTTGTTGCTGTTTGGGGGCTTCCTGAGTGGACCACCATTCCAGAGCCTGCGCCTTTGTTCCACGGTCACATGGCGGGGGACTTTACATCTTGAAACAACTGCGTCACTTCAGAGAGAACATTCCCATCTAAAATTGCCCCTGCTCTGGTTCTCCAACCCTTTAGCCTCTTCTTGGCTTTGTTACCCACGTCTATGGTCTATGGTTCTCTTGTGTATGCCCCTCTCATTACCTACAAGGTATTTGTTAACTAACTGAGTGAAAGTTAGATTGAAACCTAATTTCCTTTAGAGAGACTTTGTGCAGAACTTGTACTCGTGTGACATTTTTATTTCATAGCAGATGCTATCCTAGGTGTTTGGGGGTTTAGCAGTGAATAAAAAGATCACTTTTCTCTGGTGCCTGCATTCTTGTCAGAGATGATGAGCAACCGACATTTAATAATTTTGCCAGGGAGGAAGTGGCAAATGCTCTGAAAATGGAATATGAATTGAGAGTGCAGAGGTGACTTGTGTTTTTAACAACCCAGTGACTGTGGAACGTGATATTTATGGTGGAATGAAAATGTCCTATTAGGAGGAAATACTTGCATGCTCTGTCCTGAGGCCTGCAGCTCTGCCACTGTGGCAGATATCACCATCCTCTATACGTAAAAGCTGAACGTATCAGGATTTCTCGGTTTAATTCACAACGGCTAATGAAGAGACCAGAATCTTTCTCATAGGAGAGACTAACCAGATAACCACTATAGATGCACTCAGAAAACTATAGCGCCAACTTGCCATACCTTATATTCTGCAACCACAGATTTAACAGACCTTGAATTGGAAATATTAAGAAAACACTTTTACTGAGCATACAGAATTTGGGAGGGGGGCGATCATTATTAACTAAACAAGAATATCAACTTTTTATTTTTTTCTTTTAAGACATGATTTCACTCTACTTCACTAGATCAGACTGCCCTGAAACAACTTATTAGGATTCTCGTGCTTCAGCCTCTCTAGCACTGAGGTTACAGGCGCCAAGCCCGGAGGGATACCACCCACACAGCATTTACATCAGGTGTTTCTTCTGTGTCCGATTGAAAATAGAAAGAGAATGTGCCCTGCCCGTATGCATGCGACAGTTTCCATAAGTGACTTGAGCTTTCACAGAGTGTGGTACTGATGGTTTTGGATCCCGCAGCAGTCCCCTCACCCTGTCTTACTGTACCCTGCCATAGCTTCTTAATTTCCTCTGACATTGAGTCATGGGAATGACAAGTTGATGTTATTTCATGATATTCAGTGATCTCTATTAGAGGTTCTGTATGAGCCAGACAAATCTAAGCAGCCATCAGCCCTTGACTGTAGAGGACTTGGGGAAAGACACCGATGGAGAAGAACCTGTTTTAGGAAAGGTGTCTCCTCGGAGGTCTTTTATTTAAGCAACGTAGGCCACAGACACTCCATGTTCAAGCATTAAGAGGCTATTACTGTAGAGGTATAGACGGAGGGAACTCTATTAATTAGCTTTTGTCCACAGGAGGTTGTCATATTTAATTTCAGTTTTAACAGTTCTGAGACTAGAATGCTGCTGTTTTCAAAGTTTACTTGGCATTATTACAAACCAGAATTGTCCAGGAACGGGAGATGGGGAACAGGAGTGTCAGGGTGGCAGAGAAGAGTTGAGGTCCTTTTGTTCAAGGCTGAAAACCAGGCGGTCCGTGTAGGAATGCAGATCAGTTGCCCCTCTCGATCCTTCTAGATTTCCTTATCTGGAAGGAACACGTGTCTAACAATATGATGATCTCCAGGAAATTGAAATCATAATAGACTATTAAACATCAGTCTGACACCGAAGTGTGTGTTTTTAGCATCAGCTTTGCTAACCTAACCTGAGTTAATATGTATTGTTTGTCCCCCATACATTTTTGAGCTAAAGGTGCTAGTGAATGGTAGCTAAACTGCAGTGTTGTTTATATCACAGCAAATGTATATGAAAGGATTCCCAAGAGGAAACAGATGGAGGTCAAGAGGGTCTACTGTGTTCATGAATTAGTGTTGTAGAGCCAGGGTCTTTAATAGGATAATAGTTACCACATCTATTAATATCTATTTAAACATTGGATGTATAAGAAATCAAATCTTAAATGGACTTACAAATGGCTTTTTGTGTCAGTTCATGCCATTCCTGCAGCAACGTAAAATTTATTTTTAGTTTATGTTGACGGTTTGCCCACTTGGAGATGACATTTTTGTTATCGGTCTTATCAGTGGTGCTGGGCTCAGTAATCTGAAGATGATTGCTAAAGCATTGCTGTGGGCTGATTCACCCCAAACCTCACCGTGAAATTGGAAACCACTTGTGTCCCACAAGTCGGTGTACTGCTTTTCCTAAGCATCAGGCAGCACTGCTTCCTTTGGGGGTGTGCTGACTGCGGCTTGTGTGTGGTTGTGTTTATAAGCACCCAGTGCAGCCAGCAGCTGGTTAGGTGTTCTTGTTCTACCGTTCCCATTTGGGACTGCCAGCATCTCATTCAAGAGGAGCTGAATTACAACCAATGCACGTGACAATTGAGGCTGTGTTTTATTATTTTATATACTTATATTACCTGTAACTCAAGTTTTGCACTGATAAAAGAATGATAATGATACTTTTTTTTTTTTTTTTTTGATTTTTCGAGACAGGGTTTCTCTGTAGGTTTCTACAGAGCCTGTCCTGGAACTAGCTTTTGTAGACCATGCTGGCCTCAAACTCACAGAGATCCCCCTGCCTTTGCCTCCTGAATGCTGGGATTAAAGGCTTGTGCCACCACCACCCAAAGAGAATGATACTTTGAAATTACTCAGCAAACATGCTAGAGACCCCACTGGCATTTACTTTGTCTGCAGCTTCCTCACACACTGATACCTTGTTGCCCCTCCCACCACTTTGCTTAACCCTTTCTTTGCCTCCTTAAGGAGAGTGTCTCAGGTGGGAGAACTTGTCAGTAGCATCACTTTATGTATCACAAGGAAACTTCTTACACATTATGTTCCTCAAGCATGACTTAGAGCTGATCTCATGGAATTGAATTTAAAAACAGCTCTCAGATTTCTCTGAAGAAACTGCCCCCATTTACTTTTTACTGGGACCACTTTTTTTTTCTTTTTGGTTTTATGAGACAGGGTTTCTCTGTAGCTTTGAAACCTGTCCCAGAACTATCTCTTGCAGAGCAGGCCAGCTCGAACTCACAGAGATCCTCCTGCCTCTGCCTTCCGAGTGCTGGCACCACTTCTGATAGATAACTCTCAGCATGGGGAAGCCTCTGGTTAACTAGCCTATTAGCTCTTATGGCTCTCCACATCACCTGAGAGCTGGATCTTCCTGTCTTCACAGTACTGTGTTTTCTGTTTGGTTCTTTTATATACTTGTTTTCCACTCACTGGGAATACAGGCAGTAACTTGGCCAATGAACATGTGTTCTATAATCAGCTTAGCTCCCTTGCCCGAACTTCTTTCCAGGTAACGTGTGCCACACTGAGTTGCGAACACACTTAGTGTACAGATTATCTCACCAACAGTCTATGTACAGTTTATTCTTTGCTTTGTACAGGGACATGAATTCTCCTGTTTTCTGGGAGGATTCAGATGGGATGTGTTTGTCATGTTAGAAAAACTATCTTGTGTCTGCTAGTCTTTGACTGCGTTGTTACTAACAGTGTAAGAGAAAACTGGCAAAATACAAACAAGGGTAACTTAGAAATAGATTATTAAATGATATACGTTTAAGAAAACAGCTGGAGGACTGGAGAGATGGCTCAGCCATTAAAGGCTAGGCTCACAACCAAAAATGTAAGAAAACAGCTGGAATAAAAAATACCATACAACAGATGATCCTACTTGATATTTATTTGGCTTTGAAGACTTACTAGTCAAACACTGGAATGCTGGCTCCTGAGTGTTTAGCCGCTGGCTCTTAAGTGTCCAGCTGTTGGCTCCTGAGTGTCCAGCTGTGAGCTTGGAACCCCGACTGGAAGGCAGAGAGGGGACGGAGCTTCCACTGAGAGAAGGTTTTCCTTTCTCATTTTGGCTTGTAGATCAAATCTTGAGACCCCTTAATGTTATTTTTGTTACTTTAAACTAAATGAGGAAATGTAGCGGAAGCTATTCTGCAGAGCTTACCATGGAATATATACGTGAGCCAAGTCATAGCCCTACAGCAGATGGAGGAGGCAGAAGCGGTGATGTGACCTGCAGTAGGACAGCTAGGACATCCCACTCTCATCTCCTAACAGGGGCCTACTTATGCTGTGACTCTGTCACTCTGAAGGCTTGTCCCAATATGGATATCAGCCTCCACCATGCCCTCCAGAAACACTGCCTTCCTGTGCAGAAAACAGCGATGTCTGGAAGCCAGTTTAGAGCAGAGGTAGAAAACACCTAACATAACTGATATTAAACACTTTTTTTCCTAGTTCAGATTCTCCTTGCCAGGCATGCATCATCCTATAGCACTGATTTACTTTTAAAATGACAGAAGAAATCTTTGCTTATGAATCATCATTATCAATGTTTTATGAAATTCCCATGTCTCTAGTAAAAGCAAAGTCAGAATGGTGGTGCTCCAGTTTTAATATTGGTTAACTTTATCCCCTTACAGGCTGGCCTTGAACTGGCCACATAGCTGAGGATGGGCTTGAACTCCTGATCTTCCTAAGGACAGGCGGGGATTATATGTATTATATGTGCATACTAGCACAGTGACTCTCAAAGCATTATGTTGTGATTGGAAAAGTGGTAATATACAAATTTATTGTTATAGAATTATGTGGATTCTTTTATCTTTGGAATTACCTTCATCAAAACTTCTATGGGAATTCCCAGCAAAGCCCAGCCGTGTATCATGTTGTCATCTGCACTGTAATAAACGAGGGCTGTTTCTCTGTGCTCTGAGCTTTACCTAATGGTCCGTTACACCATCTGTATTAATTCATGATGTAGTGATTTGTCCAACATTGCTAAATCTAGAAAATTAAATGTGTGTGTGTGTGTGTGTGTGTGTGTGTGTGAGAGAGAGAGAGAGAGAGAGAGAGAGAGAGAGAGAGAGAGAGAGAGAGAGAGAGAGGGAGGGAGAGGGAGAGAGGGAGGTGGAGGTGCACAAAGAGACTGGAAGAAGGCGTTGGATTCCTTGCAACTGGAGTGCAAGCAGCTGTGAGCTGCCCAGTGATCCTCTGGGAGAACAGGAAGCTCTCTTAACTACTGAGTCATCTCCTCAGCCCCTAGCGAATTCGTGTTAGTTGATACATGGTATGTCTGTCCTCAGGTTGTCAGTCCTGTTGGCAGATCCTGCTTACCTCTTTACTCTTCCTTAGGAGTTTTTCTCTGGTTCTGCTACTACAGGGTTCATCTAGGTCAGCTCTTTTTAAAACAGAGTGAAGTCATTTTAACATTTTTTTTAACATTGAAATATGATGGAATGGCATAGGATGGCGAAGGGCAGAATAGCAGAGCTGTGTAGACAACAGGAAAAAGATTCCCTATTTCATGTAGGAGGATAAGAATTATTTTATGAAATTTTGTTTTAGGGTTCTGTTAGTCAGCTTTGTGTTGCTGTGACAAAGTGCCTGAGTAAAACCTTTAAGCAGAGGAAGACTTACTTCAGCTCATGGTTTCAGGCCTGTGCTTTTGGTGCATGCTCAGGAATCACATTTCAGTAGGAGCACATGGTGGAGCTGAACTGCTTACTTCATGGCAGCCTGGATATAGAGAGAGCAAAGGGCCAAGGATAAGATTTACCCTTAGGGCTGGAGAGGTGGTCCAGGGGTTAAGAGCTCTGGCTGCTCTTCCAAGGGACCTGGGTTCATTTCCCAGCACCCACATGACTGCTCATAATCACCTCTTAACTCCAGTCTCAAGGATCCAGCCCCCTCTCCTGGCCTTTGTAGATACCAGGCAAATATGTGGTTCACAGACAAACATGCATATAAAAAAACCCATACACAAAAAATTAAACATGCACACACAATACACATTCTTCCAGGACATGCCCTCAGAGCCTCCAAATAGGTCCTACTTTTTTTTTTCTTCTGGTTTTTCAAGACGGTGTTTCTTTGTGTAGCCTTGGCTGTCCTAGAACTTGCTTTGTAGACAAGGCTAGCCTCGAACTCACAGAAATATGCCTGCCTCTGCCTCCAGAGTGCCAGGATTAAAGGCGTGCACTACCCCTGCTAGGTCCTACCTCTTAAAGATTTCTATCATCTTCCCCTAGCTCATGAAGCTAAGAGTTCAGCAATTAATCTCTTGGTAAGGTTAGAATCTTCTCAATCCAGTCACCTCCCAAAGTCCATCTCCAAAAACTCCTACACTAGAAACCAAACTTTGAACACATGAGTTTGGGGGAAATGTTGTAATCCATATCATAACAGACTTCATATATGTAGAAAAAAAGCAAAAACAAACAAGCCAAAAAAAACCACCAAAAGCCAAAATATCCAAAAGATGTCATGGTGATCCAGACCCTGGCGTCGTTCTTGAGACTGAAGTAATCTGTGTTCCTCTAGCCTTCCACAAGTGTGCCTTTGTCTCCACTATCTCTGGGCACTGTTCCTGGGTAACTTCTGTGGGCCTAGTGGGTACGGCTGAACTCACTGTGTCTGTGCTCCCACGATGACTTCTGTGATGAACGAGAGTGGCTGTTAGTGTGACTGTTGACTTCTGTGAGTAGCCTGCACCCTTGTCCGTTTAGTCCCTTGGCCGCGGTGAGTTCCGTGTGCTGCAGCCATCTTCTCCCAGGCTGTGCAGTGTCTTACACTTTCTCACAGATAATGCTGCCTTCATGTCTTAGCTAAGAAAGTTCTGGCTGAGAGGCCTTTGCCTATCAGCATAGCTTTGGTTTAGAAGACTTCCCAATTTGAAGCCAACCTGAGCTCTACCGAAGGACCCTGTCTCAGTAACCAATGAAGGAACAAAAGGAAGTCTCCTGTGCTTATAGAAGGGTGAAGTTTGCCCTTTTCCATAGTCCATGGGCTTCTCTTTTGTTGAAGAGTACAATTAGACGTTATTTGGTGCCTGGGCCTGATGGCACCTGTATGCAGGGGACAGGTGGCTCTGGAGTACCATCTACATAGTGAATTCCAGGTCAGTCAGGCTGCATAGTGAGCCCTGTCTCCAAAACCGAAACCCAGCTTTCTCTAATAAAAATATTTTGCTATGTTTCATTGTTCATACTATTAAAATCCTGTCTTGAAACTTTAAAAAAATGCAAAAGTTACATTATAAGTTTTTGATATTTTATATTTGAGTACCTCTGCTGACTTTTTTTTTTCCTTTTTAGACAGGGTTTCTCTGTAGCTTTGGAGCCTGTCCTGGAACTAGCTCTTGTAGATCGGGCTGGCCTCTGCCTCCCGAGTGCTGGGATTAAAGGCGTGCACCACTACTGCCCCGACTCTCTGCTGATTTTTTTAAATAAGAGAGCTGATGCAATTTAAGAAACAGTTTCCTTTAATAAATAATGCATTGTTAACTTTGAAAAAAGGAGCATACTCTCCTCTTTCAGTCTCTTTAATAGAATTTATTTATGTGTTTATATTTTTCAGGCACGTTAACTCTCTTCTAGAAGACAGCTTTACAAGGATCTAGAAGGACCAAATTTGGGCTCCGGCACTCTGCAGCGACCAGGTACAGATGTTTGGAGGGAGTGTTTTTAGCCATTGTGTATAGAGTGAAGGCTTAGGAAAACTCTATGATCCTCAGCATGCCAGGCAAGTCAGCTGCGGCCTTGCGAAGAAATGATGTCATCACTTACAAGGGTCATCCTCAAGAACCTCTCAAATTACAAAGAAATTACAAATCTCATAATTATTTTGTAATTTTGAATTTGGGTTTGGCCACAGTTATGGCTGCTTGTGCTTCATGCTTGCGGCTAATGGGTGGCATTTGGACATGCCTGCCGAGAGGGTCCAAGGGCAGCAGCTTTGGAAGCACTCCCGGGTTCCATTCTAAACTCTGATCTTACTGATGGTTACTGTGGGTTGGGTTACTAAAGCATCCTGAAACAGGCCTATTTCTGTGATTACTCGCCTGGCTATTGCAAAGATTCAGTGAGGTACCAACCTGCACTCTAAATGCCTGTGTTTTCACACCATGGCTGTGGTTTACAGTGCTGTTACTAATAGCATAAGAATCATGCAGGTAACAGGATGAGGCAGCTATAACCTCCACACACTGTACCCCAAGCAGAAGTTGGTTTTCTCTGTTATATGTGTCACTTTGACATGGTGGAAACAAGTTTACCATTTTTTCAAAACAAAACTAGGGCATTTGTTTGCACTATTTCATATTAGTAATTAGTCTTTAAGTTATTTTTGAATTTTGACTAATAAACACTGAATAACCTAACATTATATTAATGTTATAGTTAATCCTAATTGACTCTTATGAATACTTCCTCTTTGCATGTGTAATTTTCATATGCCTTGCATACAGTTACATTTTAACCTGACCAGTTCAATAAACAGAATGGACTATTTTTACCAACATTTTTAAGGAGTTGATTATACTGTGATCAAAATGATTAAAGAAAGATACTGAAAGGAGCCATTTTTTCCTACTTACAGGAACTCAGGATTCCTAATCACCGATCTTAGCGCATATGAACGTTCCCCCTTCCTGCAAGTGACAGGAGACCTAAGGGTGGTGAGGGCAGTTGTGTCTGTGTTTGTTCCTCTTTCTTCTCTCCATCACCGTCCTCCCCACCTTTCAATTTTCCTCTTTTCATCTCTTCCTTACCATTCTCTTGCTTGTCTCTTCTTTCTTCTTTCTGTTCCTGTGATGCTGGCATTGAGTCTGGAGCATCATACATGCTAAGCCAGTGCTCTCATTGAGCTGTGCTCCTAAGCCCAGACGCCTCTTCTTATTCTAGTAAATTTAGGGTTAAATATGCAAGAGTGTTTCTGGGGAAGCTGCTGCCAAAAGAGGATAGGGATGACCTTCAGTCCTTAGGCTAGGGATTGTAGCTCAGTGAGGATGCTTGCTCTGCTTGGGCACGGTCCTAGATCTGCTCCCCAGCAATGGGGTGTGGGAGGGTACCTTAAAAAGACATGCCAGCTCCCACTATCTGGTCCTATTTTGCAGTACCTGAGCATATACATTCTGTTCTACTCTGAGTAATGTGTGTATTTGGTAACAAAAGAATTGTGGTCCCCTCTCTGAGAGAGCGATCCCATTAATAGAGAAGTCCCACAAGAATAGTAATTGGTGTGAGGCAGAACATGTGCGCTCTGGAGGCTGCAGAGAGAAGTAAGAGCTGTGGAAATACGGGCCCAGCCTGTGCGGCTACTCAGGAGCCAAGGCAGTAGCAGTTGGGCTGGATTTAAAGGAAATGAAGATTTCAGTAGCTATGCCGAAGTGCTGTAATGTGTGATGCTGATTAAAAATGGCAAAAATGGTTTTCCAGATCAAATCATAGACATTTGCCAGAGAGAAAGTTTAAGTGATCTCTTTTAGTTTTGTTTTTGGGTCGGCAAATAGTCTTCCCCTGAATTTCATCTCCAGTTCCTAAGTGAGCTTTTAAATATAAGCATGTCTTTTTAAAATTGGTTCTTCAAACATTAGTAATAATGATTTACTATTCACTGACCTCATTTTAAGTTCAGATGCTCTGGATGCTTATTCTTTATAAGACCTACTTACAATTGAGGAAAAAATTGAAGAAAATTTCACCAAGGCTATTAAAACATGTTGTGGTGACATTTGACCCCAGTTTGAATTTTTGGTTGTTGTTTTTTGACAAAGGGTTTCACTGTAACAGCCTTGACTGTCCTGGAACTATCTCTGTAGACAAGGTTGGCCTCGAACTCACAGAGATCCACCTGTCTCTATCTCCTTAATCACCACTGGCCGGCTTGATTTTTTTTTTTTTTTTTACTGAGACAGGATTTCTACGTGTAGCCCTAGCTGTCCTTGAACTCTCTCTGTTGATCAGGCTGGCCTCTGTCTCCCAAGTGATGAGATTAAAGGAATGTACCGTTTTCAATCTATCTTTTCCTAGTTCTAGCTCTATTGCAGCAAATACCAGGTAAAACGCTGTGATAAAAAAGCGTGCAATGTGCATTGCATGTAATCAATCACTTGATTGGAGCAAACCTAATAAATTAGAAAACAACAAATGTTACTAAATATAATTAAATTGACTTTTAATTTAATAATTTAATAAATATTATTAAATTGACTCTTAGAGGGAAATACGACTTTATTTATATTGCCTTTAGCTGTGGGATAGCTAGTGTGTAATGGTTGAACCATGAGACCATTCTGCATGTCTTCCAGTCGGGCTTCCCCTGCTGTCACCTCAGCTGTTGCGGTCACTTTGATGGGACACCGGAAATTATGAAGGAAAGAGTGTTCTTGCTCCATACTTGATGGCTTTTGCTTCAGACCCTTGGGTTGTTGTTGAAGTCCAGGGCAACAAAACTGTTCATTCATTCAGCTGTTCGTTCATTCATTTTATCCCCCTTTTTATTCATTTCTCCTTTGTTTTTTCCAGCTTAGCAGGTCATACATTCTTCAGGAGCTGAGAATTCATAAGTCTGGTCTTCACCGTGATTTGGAACTTCCCAGTCTCAGAAAAGTTGACCAAGGTCTAGAATTTGTTTTTTCCTATCCATAGAAAAGTTATCTGTGAGATGGAAGTTTCTGCTAATTTCCTTGTAGATAGAAGGACCTCTCCTTCTGCAGGATGACCTTCCCAGACTTCAGGAGGATGATCCCCTTAAGAGTTCCTGAACACTGAAAACTACATATAGGACTTACAGCGGTTGAGGAATTACGTCCATCACCCATTCACCATTTGGGGACTTATTTTCTCTGTTAATTAGAAGCCAAGTCATTTTGTTTGTTTGGTACAAGGCCTTGCTTTGTTGCCTAGGCTTCTTTGTAATTCCTTAGCTTCCCAAATGCTGGGAATACAGACACTTGCTTACTAAAGCAATTTTCTGTGTACCTTGGCATGGGCTCTTGATTTTCCCACGTCCTTTCTCCTCAGGGACTGCACAGGACTGAGTCCATATGGAAGAAGAACTGCCTGGTTTCTATGGAGAAAGTGGCAAGGTTAGAAAAAAGCATGCCTTGTAGCATGCGTATTTTGTTGCATGAACCATATCTGTTCAGCTGGTGAGAAGAGCAGTGAGATCATATGAGTCGTCTATGGAGAGGCTGCAGTGTGGTGCCTGACATAACAATAAATAATTGTGTGGGGGATATAGGATGTGGACAGGGCCAGCAACAGACAGTTGTCACCTGCGGGTTGAGGAAGGGCTCCCTGGGATGGTGGCATTTGAGCGTGATAAGGAACATAGGCTTCTGCCCACAGATGATGACCTTTACAGGAATAATGTTTACTCCTTTCCCAAATATTGAAAATTATTAAAAAAAATAGTCACAGAAGATAAGCTTCCAACTCATTGTGCTCTTTTCTTTCCCATCACATCTGAACATTACAGTCAACCGGCTTAAGTCCATACAGTATCCAGAGAATACCCTTTCCCACCCAGTATCCAGTGGGTATTGTTCCCCATCCTGTATCCAGTGGATATTGTTCTCCATCCTGTATCCTGATGTGGGAGTCCCCTCTGTGTGCTGTGATTACTGTTAATGAATAAAGAAACTGCTTTGGACCTATAGCAAGGCAGAACTTAGGTAGGCAGAGAAAACTAAGCTGAATGCTGGGAGGAAGAAGGGCGGAGTCAGAGAGACACTGTGGAGCCACCACCAGAGTCAGACATGCTGAAACTTTGCAGTAAGCCACTGTCACGTGGTGATACACAGATTAATAGAAATGGGTTAAATTAATATAAGAGTTAGCCAATAAGAAGCTCGAGCTAATGGGCCAAGCAGTGATTTAATTAATACAGTTTCTCTGTGATTATTTCGGGTCTAAGCTAGCCGGGTGGCTGGGAACCAACAAGTGGCCCCCCTTTCAACAGTATCCAGTGGATATTGTATAAAGGTAGTATAGTGTACAGTACAGCCAAACTTTTGAAATTCTGCCACATGCTAACATGGATGCTTGTGTGTGAACCCTTGTAGGAATTTGTAAAAGTAGCTTGAAAACCAGCAGTAGAACTGAGAGACTTAGAGATGATAGTAGAGGCTAACTGGAGAACTGGCTCCGCAGTCCTAACACTAGAACTGAGAGACTTAGAGATGATAGGAGAGGGCTAACTGGAGAGCTGGCTCAGCAATCATGAGTGCTTATTGGTCTTGCTGAGGACCAGAGTTTGGGTCCCAAACCCTTGCTATATGACTCAGTCACCTGTAACTCCAGCTTCAGAGGACCTGAGGTCCTCTTCTGGCCTCCATGGCTATATGTGCTTTTCTCTCTTTTATACACACACACACACACACACACACACACACACACACAGTGTTAATAGAAAAATTCCTAAATTCCTAATTCGTCCTGGGAACAGAGTTCATAAAATTGAATGAATCCACAGAGACGGCAGTGAAATTACCTTACTACATATACGTATAATGCTGTAGCTAGGAAATCCTCAAAAGGTGAGGCATTACTTTTTTTTTTTTTGCCATTGTTTTACTAGACATGCCCAACATGGCATTTTGATTTTCCTATGTAGGCTGTATTTCCGCTGAACTGTATCAGCTTGGCGGTTGCTGTGGTCACATGCAGTGTGGTCACCCAGTGGATTTCCAGTAGATACAGAGTCTGTTTGTTCCAAGCCACCCAGTCAGACTAACAGGATGTATCTTAGTCTCTGATTCGTGGCAGGTATATTTTCTGTATTAGTTCTCCCTGACAGGGTATTAACATCTCATTACCTGCATTTTGCAATGAGATGCCAGCTACAGGTGCGGGTAGTGGATGGGATTTGAATGAAGTGGCACAGGAACACTTCAAAAGTGGTCGTGTGGTCAGGCGGGTACCTGGGTTACCCTGGAACTGAGTTCAACAGACACTGTCTTAATGGTGACAGTTGCAGGTTCTTATTTCCTTGAAGAGTTCAGTTCCCCACATTTTCTAGCTAGTGACCGGTTTCCGTCCTCTGAAACAGCACGATGACCATAAGCAACTTGGGGAGGAAAGGGTTTATTTTTGCTTATAGTTTCATATCACAGATCATCACTGGGAAGGCCAGGGCAGGAACTCAGGGCAGGAACTTGAAGGCAGGAGCTGATGCGGAGGCCATGGAGGGGGACTGCTTACTGGCTTGCTCCTGCTTGCCCAGTTTGCTTTCTATACACCTCAGGGTCACCTGCCCAGCAGAGGCACTGCCTACAGTCGACTGGGCCCTCCCATATCAACCATGAGACTTGTTCACAGGCCAACCCTATGGAGACATCTTGGTTAAGATCCCCTCTTCACAGATGACCCTACCTGTTGTGTCAGGTTGATAGGAAAACCAGCCAGCACACCAGCTCTTCTGCTAACCCCTCGCCCGACAGTTGGCATAGAGTAGTTGGAGACTCGCGTGAAGTCATTTCTGGCACACAGAATGATTGACAGGATCAAGGCTTCTACATATGCTGTGTTTTAAATCTCTGTGCATTGTCTCCTGGGTGTCCTGGGACAAAATGCTGTAATTCCATGAAGCTACTATTAAATCTTTTCTTCAAAAAGCCTATGCATTTATAAATTGACTATCAGTTCACTATGTAATAATTCCCTCACAGACTTACGAATGGTCTCGTGATGACTCTTGCTGAGCATCTAGCTGTCTGACAGGCTTGAAAAGCAATATATTCACATGTCTGGCATACACGGGCTATTTGTGGTTGCTTTTCATTAGATTGTGACCTCCTGGGAGGGGATGGTGATGTCTTACTTTGCATCCTTAATTCAGTAATTCTACCAAACCTGATATTCTCCTGCTCAGCACCATCTCTTAATAAATGTAGGGTTGCAGATTGCACAAGCGTCCTTCACACTCTGGAATCCCAGTGGTCAGGGAGTCATGGCCTGGCCACTGTGTGTCTGTACAAGCTGACCAAGGGGAAAGCTCAGACTTAGGACTTGCAGACAGGTGTTTAGGAACTGGTTGGAATTTACCACTCGATTCTTAGTATTCAGGAGGCCACTTGATTTTGTAGCAAAGGCAGGATAAAATCCAAAACCATGCTTGAAAGGGGAAACAGCTGGGGTAGTAGCCAGTCTTTGCATCTTGGCAATGAATGCCAAGTAGCCATTTAAGGACTCAGGGCTGCACAGACTCGAGGCCGCCAGTGCTGTCGTAGGAGAACTTATTCAGCACTCAGGTGCCGGGTAGACGCATGGGCCTCTGTCTGTTCTCACCCACCTCGAAAGAACTGACCCGATGTAGCAAAGTCTATGGTGTGATTATTGCGATGACTCGAGATAATATATAAAACGGTAGAAGACCACTAGTAACATCTCCTTTAGATTCCTTGTGCAGCGTTTCAAACGTCATTCTTCTTAAAATTTACAGAAGGAAAAGAAATAAAGCAGACCTCTTAGAAAGTATGATTCTTTCATGATATGAGGAGGTAGGCAATTTAACATATATACTACTTAGATTAAAATCTCACTCCACAGTTCTGTTGTCTGTGTCCAGCTTTGACAGTTAACAGTGTCTCTAGAAAGAATTCTTTTTTGTATAACAACTCTGATTTCCAAATTAATCTAACATTACCATATAAAGGCATCCGTTTCCTGAAATGCCCACAATGAGGGTAGGCACCTGTTCTATACATTCATAATAATTGGAGCTTCTTGAATGTGAGATTTAAAGACAATGCCTGATTTCAACTTGAGTTTTTCTTGCACACCCACTGATACCGCTGCAAAATGCCCTGGTACTGAAAGTAACGGAAGAAATAGTAGCTGCTGCATCAGAACTGAACAGGAGAGACAACCGTCGCTGCTGTCCCAGATATGAGAGTAGGACCTATCATTTTTGGCATGGGAGCTTGCGATTTGCCTGGGGAGACGTGGGTCAGAGAGCTGAGCATAGGGACTTGCACATCCATAGGCAGCTCTTCTTCGCTCAGTGCTTACCGTATACTCACCTTCATTCGCAGCAGCAGTGGTCTGCTGATGAAAGAGACTGCTCTGGCTCTTTGCTCAAGAGCTGTGCTGGAGCAGTCTGTAAGGGCCCAGAGTGACATGCTGAAGACGCTGGGTGCTTCAGATCAGCCCAGACATCCTCAGCTGACTTCCAAGGTGACCGGATAAATACTTGCTCAGATTGGAAGCAAGCAAGTGGTCGGCTCTCTCAGATCGTCTTAGTAAGGTTTGGCTAGCAGCTGCCGAGAAAGAGTTCTTTTAAATTAAACATGAGTTTGGTGTTACTCTGAAAAACACTCCATTCAGTGGCATGTGGCCTGTTTCAAATATATTTATAAAATATATGTTTATTTTTTTAAATTCAAAAGCTAAATGAAGGAACTCTGGCCATCTCAAGTGCGGGAAACATGGCTCTGGCAGGTCTTGCCCTCCTCCCCCATTCCCTGCCTTGCTAAAAACCATTAGATTATATTCCTAAAGCTACCCACCAAGGTCTGTTCCCTTATTTGTGCCCCTTTCTCCTCCTGAGGCTGACTAGCAAGCTCGGGCTTTAAAGTATTAAAGTCTAGCAATCAGAAACCCCCTTTGGTTCATCTGGTTAACATGCCCAACCAAAACACAGCCCGGCATCCTGGCCTAACACAAATCTCCCTTTTTCTCTTCTGAAAAATCATACAAATGTCATTTGCTGCTCTTTTCTGCCTGAGTCAGAAAGCAGTCACTTTGTAACTTCTCTTCCCCTCTTAATAAAGGCTCTCTCTTTGAAGACAGGTGTTTGGATGTGGTTTGTGTCTAACCTGTGGGCCCAGGGGGAGCCCCTGCTGTTCAGGGGTCTCCTTCATTAAGTGCATGAGTAAATGTCTCCAGTGTGCAGATAAAGAATAACTGTCTTTAAAGACCACTTTATGATATATGTATGCTCCTGGAGAGTACACGTGATCATGAAATTATCAGGCACTGTTGAGGTTTTGTGCCCTCCAAGATTGTGTGCTGAAATCTAAACCTGAGACCTCAGAGTACAATCAGTTCATATGGAGATTAGGTCATTGAAGAAGTAATTAGCTTAGTTATGATAAAGTCATTAAAGGTGGTCCTAATCCAGTCTGACTTGTGTGTTATAGAAGGGGAATATTGGACACAGATCCACATACAAGGAAGGCAGTGTAGACAGGGAAGAGAGCTTTGCAAGTGGAGCCTGCACTAGATCTTTCCCTGACAGCTCTTAAAAGGCAAACTAGCTGACACCTTGATTTGCGACTTTTGAGTCTCCAAAACTGTTAGTACACTTGGTTGTTTCTGCCAGCTCGCTGTGGCTGCCAGTGCTAATGAGCACATAAGCTACCTGGATGCTTCTCAATGCTGTGGTTGGTTGGAATGTCAACTTGTCCCAAATTAGAATCTCTCAAGTAGGGAGCCTGGCCTGGAGAAGCCTCCCAATGGCCTTGGTTGATGTGGAAAGGCCCACCCCGATTGTGGGTGACACTTGCAGGTAGCAGACCAGATAAAAAGCTATTTTGCTTCTCCCTCCTTGGCTTTCCCTCTGCCACCAAGTTGATTTTTCCTGTCGCTGCTGCTGGTTCCTTCCCTGAGAGTAGAGCCTGCGTTTCCAAGCTTCCCTCGTGGGCTGGGGACCACTGGTTCTCCAGGAACTTTTAGTGCTCCCAGTGTCTGGGACTACGGAGTCCACACCTTGGGGACTGAGTAACTACTAGCTGTCACCTCCCAGTGAGTGTTTAGGAAGCAGAATGTGTGGCCCATGAGGAGGTGCACTGCACCAGGAGAACCTAATGGATTGCTAATTTATTCGTGCAGAAGTCTGGAGAGTGTGTGGTAATGGGCTTAGCGTGGGATAATGGTAGGAGGACACGAAATTGAGTCAATCTGAGTTTGTCACTATGAACCTTGCACAGGTATAAAAAAAAGGGGGGTGGCTACCAAGAGACTATTTGATTGGTTAGTTGAACTATTTGGGGAAAAGTCTACTGAGAATGGACCTAAATTCGTTGCTTAAGGCCTAGTCCTCCACAGTGTGCATGCCCAGAAGTCGTGCCCTTCACTAATACTATAAGATGCACAATGGTGAGAGGGATGTTCAAAGGCTGTGTTGTCACCCTTCCCTTAGAGTGGGAGATGCTGCTGCTCATTTGGATGAATTAAATGTGATGGACTAATTGGTACCCAGAGCAGCAGGGGCCAGGAGGTAGCAAAGCAAAGAGTCACCAAAGGCAAGATGAGCATGCTTATCATCCGAATGGGCACCCTAGGCAAAGCCATGTTCACAGTGGCCTGGCCCATGACGGCAGCATAGGGAAAGTGAATGTCGCGATGGCACAACTCGCCTTGGACCTTTGAGACGGACAAATCAGTAATGGCGTTTCCTGGGATGAGATGGATTAACATGGGCTTTCACTTAATCTGTACATGCACAAGACTCTAGAACAAAGGGAAGAATGCTGCATTTGATTGTAGTAATGGGGATTCATGGCCCATCAGTCAGTTTTCAGACTTGAGCCAGTTTACAGACCAGAACCCCTTGAATGAAGGGAAGGTCAGGTCTCCCCGAGGGACAACCTAGAAGACATGAGAATTATACTGTTAGCCAGAATGCATGAGTTAGACTGTTGGCCACTCTCCCATCTTCCCCACCCCCAGAGACCTACATCTGTTTGCTAGAGTAACCATGCCTAGGAACAGCAAATGTAGCAGTCACCCTCCTTCCTCCAGCCTGTGCTTGCTTAGCCAGCCTGTTTCTACAGCTACGTTTAATGTGTTGCTATCATTGAGCCAGCCAAGGTCCAGACTTGGATGAGCTGGGTGTCTCTGAGATCTGCTTTTGCCCAGGCCACCAGCACCCGGTCTGGGAGCAGTGTGGGAGAGCGAGCTATGAGCAGTTGTGCAGCAGGTGAGCGGCTCTCAGCGATGGACGCCACCAGATGTGGGTTATTCCTCCTCAAGCCAGTTTAACTCTACTCTGCAGAAATAAGAGTCCAAGAATGTTTTTGTTTGTTTGTTTAATTGGTGGTCTCAGTACATAATTCTTGTTCCTTTCAGCCAGTCCAGGCTACCCTGTCATCACTGAAGATGTTGGATGTGGGGAAGTGGCCAATCTTTTCTCTTTGTTCTGAGGAAGAGCTGCAGTTGATTCGTCAGGCCTGTGTCTTCGGTAGTGCTGGCAATGAAGTTTTATACACCACAGTCAACGATGAGGTAATTCTGAGGAAAACATTCAACTACCCATAGTTTTAGGAACGGGTTTATAAGTTGACGACCTTGGGGGAAGGAAGGAATGAAGCCTTTAAAACAGAAGTGTGGAAAGTCATTTTTTTCCTTTTGTTTGTTTCAAGACAGGGTTTCTCTATGTAGTCCTGGCTGTCCTGGAACTTACTCTGTAGATCAGGCTGGCCTTGAACTCAGAGATCCACCTACCCTTGCCTCCCAAGTGCTAGAATTAAAAGCATGCATCACCACCACCTGGCTGAAAAGGCAATTTTTATTTATTCTCTAAGAAGGTAGTTTGCTTCAGGAAGTCTGCCCAAGGTAACTTATAGACATTTCAAAATTTACTTCCTTGAACTGAGTGTTTTTTCCACAGATCTTTGTGCTCGGCACAAACTGCAGTGGCTGTTTGGGGGTAGGTGACATTCAGAGCACTCTTGAGCCTCAGAGACTGGATTCTTTAACCGGCAAAAAGATAGCCAGCCTCAGCTACGGGAGTGGCCCACACATTGTCCTTGCAACAACAGGTAATCAGAGTTCAGCGGATAGATTTAGTGCATTGCTTATTTGTTAAGAAGTAAGACCAGGATGCCGGACATTGAGAACAAACTTTCTGACTGAGAGTTGGTGGCTCTGCCTTGTGGACTTGGCCATGCATTGGGCAGCATGATGTATGACTACACCTGAATAGCAGAGTATGGTAGTTTAACACGGGGCGGGCGGTCTACGTGGATGGAGGACAATACACCCAGCCCTTCCATTCCCTTACTCAGTAAGTGTAATTATTGTGTGAGAATTCTGCTTGCTTTGGATCTCAGGAAGCCTACACATTGATCTTAGATTCCTGGCCTGCAAATTGAGAGAGCAAATGTTGGTTCTTCTATCACCCTAAGTATTCTGTGATTCTAAAATTGAGTAGTGACTGATACAAGTTTGCTTTAATAGAGAAAACATTCTCTTGACTGCTTCATGAACTCAGAGTTACAAAGCCTTAGAATTAAACTGAGCCTTTCAGGTATAAGTTCTGGGAATTTGGGTGGGGGTTTCCAGTAAAAGGCAAGATTATTCAGACCATTTCTTCATTAAAAAATAGCTACAATCTGGGGCTAGCGTGATGGCTTAGCAGTCAGGTTAGGAAGGCCAAGAGAATAGTGGAGTGAGGCTGGAGCAGACTGGTAAGCTGCCCTGCTTTGGAGGCACCCAGCTGCCCAGCTGAGGCTATAGTCTGTACTCTTGAAGAGAAGGATTACTGGTCAGGAGAGGCGGGGGATTGGCAGGCTGAGGCTGTCCCGGTTAGGAACTTGGCTCTTGACACTCTCCGCCTCTTGGTTTCTCAGGTTAGATAACAATGTAGCCTTGCTTGCTGAAAGCGAGCATAAGTGAGCACCCACGCTGGCTGGGTGCAGAACCAAGAGCTCAGTCCAAAACAACAACCTCCTCTAGGGTCTGATGTGTGAGACCCGGTAGAAGTGGCAGACAGGGTGATTATTAAACATGAGCTGTTAGAATATCAGACAAGAATTACAGAAAGCAAAATATCTACAGAGGACAAAAGGTCTACAGACATCATAGAGATTTGGAAAAGACTCAGTGAACAATTGAATTACTGAGTGAACATCCATTGGGTAAGTTCTATAGCAATTTATATACCACAAAAGAAAATTAAACCAGACGATCAAATAAAGTCATTCATAATACAACCTAGGCAATGTGGTAGAAAACGCAGATGACAGGATGCATACATGAGATTCATTTATTCAAAGTGCAGAATCAGAAAACTAAATTCTTGCATGTAAGGTGCGTATGGATAGGGCTTTTGGGGAAACATGCTTTGTTTTGTGTATATACGCTTTGCTATCCATAAAATTGCACATATGTTCTAAATATTTATAATTTCACAAGTAATATAATCAATTTTAAAACTAATTTTGTCATCTTTCTCTAACCCAGAAAAGTTAAGAACACCTTATGCTCTTGACTTTGAATGTCCTGGTTTTTTTTGTTTTTTTTGTTTTTTTTTTTTTGGTTTTTCGAGACAAGGTTTCTCTGTAGCTTTGGAGCCTCTGCCTCCCGAGTGCTGGGATTAAAGGTGTGTGCCACCACTGCCTGACGAACATCCTGTTTTCTCTGTTTTATTTTAGTGTTGCTTTTATTTGGAAACTCTCTTCTAGCTATTCTTTAACTTCATAGATTTAAATTCCAATTGTTGCTTTGACATAGAAGACAGTCGTATTTCTAAATAGACGCTCTCATGAAGTGAATTTTGGAAGCGGGAAGTGGAGCAACCTTTGCAGCTGAGTGCTAGTTCCCATGTATGGGAACTGAGGCATGTGCTGTGGTCTCTGGTAGAGGTGTGTGTTGTGACCATCTTTCTTCTGTTTTCAGATGGGGAAGTCTTTACCTGGGGTCACAATGCATATAGCCAGCTGGGCAATGGGACAGCGACTCACGGCTTGCTGCCCTGCCATATCTCTACCAATTTGTCAAATAAACAAGTCATTGAGGTGGCCTGTGGGTCTTACCACTCTTTGGTCCTAACATCCGATGGAGAGGTGAGGAAAATCAGCATAAACTCACTGATTTTGTTTTCATCGTGTTCTATAGATTCCTTTAACTGCCCCCTAAAATATGGCTAGGAAATAACATTGAGTTTGCTTTGTATTGCTGTGATAAAACATCATGATGAAAAGCAAGTTGGGGAAGAAAGGATTTATTTGCCTTGGATATAGTCCATCATCCAAGGGAGTCAGGTAGGAACTCAAGAGTCTGGAAGCAGACACTGAAGCAGAGGTTGTGGAGGAGCTATACTTACCAGCTTGCTCCCCATGCCTTGCTCAGCCTGCTTTCTTATACCTCCCAGGACCACCAGTTGAGAGGTGACACTCTTGCCAGTGGGCTGGGCCATGCCATATCAATCATTAATCAAGAAAATACTTTATAGATTTGCCTATAGACAATCTGATGGAGGCATTTTCTCGTTTGAGTTTCTCTTTCTAGATGAATCTGGCGTATTAGTTAGTCAGGGTGTTCTAGAGGAACAGAACTTAAAAAAGGAATGAATCTATCTATCTATATCTAATCATATATATTAATGTATAAATACACACACATATATATGTATACATACACACATATATACCTCAATGATAAGCTATGTAATTTATATATAGATAAGATCTGTCTATATAGATATAGACAGATAAGATACATGTATGGAATTCATTAGAATAGCTTACAGGCTGAGGTCCAGCTAGTACAATAATGGCTGCCTACCAAAAGAAGGTCCAAGAAACAGAACTTTTTCTGTCCACAAGACTGGATGTCTTAGCTTGTCTTCAATGTACACCGGAGTCTACTAGAAGTAGATTCTAGTACCAGTGAAAGAATAGACTTGCTAGTGAGGCAAGAGCAAGCACACAAAAAGAGCAAGCTTCCTTCTCCCGTGACCTTTAAACATACTTCCAGCAAGAGGTGTGGCCCAGGTTAGAGGTGGATCATCTGCCCACCTCAAAGACCCACATTAAAAGTGGGTCTTAACACTTCAAAAGATTTAATTAAGAAAAAAACCTCACAAATGTTCAACATTTGGGCATTAACAATTGGGTCTTAATTAATTCTGTATGTAGTTAAGTTGACAATTAAACATAACCATCACACCTAGCTTGTGACACATTGTCAAAAAACTAACCAGAGTAGTTATGATGAGCTAAGCGGGGATATTTAAAGTAACTATCCCTCAAACTCAGCCTCAGTCTTGATAGCAACTTATTATGATGGTTATATGATATATATCATATATATTATGTATTGTATGATATATATGCTGCATGTAGTAAGGACTTCAGTCACTACAAATCTTAAAAGGACCCATTATTACTTTTATATTGCTATAACAAAGATAATATTTGCAAATAAAAAAGTCCCAAAATGTTGAAAATATGGCTGAGGTGAAGTAGGTGTTTTGTATTATATGATTTTGTTGCTCTTTGTAGAGCTAACACAAATGTTATAAAATGCATTCTCTGTCTGTATTGTGAGACAGACCAGTGATGAGGTTCTTTGAGAGGGCACTGAGATGCCCTGAGTACATCTCAGTATCCAGTTGAGACACTTTATGAATCATGTGTTTTGTTTATCAGTCTTTTTTTTCACATAGGTATTTGCCTGGGGTTATAATAACTCTGGGCAGGTAGGATCTGGATCAACCGCCAATCAGCCCATTCCTCGAAGAGTCACAGGATGTTTGCAGAATAAAGTAGTTATGAACATAGCATGTGGGCAGATGTGCTCCATGGCCGTTGTGGACACTGGAGAGGTAGGAAAGTTATTTCATCCTTTGTTTAAAAAGTTTCTTTGTCTCCTTAGTATCATCTGAGCACAGCGTGCTTCCCAACAACAGAACTGAGTCGCTGCGTCTCTTATCTTTTCCCAGGTCTATGTCTGGGGTTACAATGGGAATGGACAGCTGGGCCTGGGCAGCAGTGGCAACCAGCCAACCCCCTGTAGAGTGGCAGCCCTGCAAGGCATTCGTGTCCAGCGGGTACGTCTCCGGGTAGTCTGTGTGCAGTGCACTAGGTCCTGGTTTTCTTACACACATGCAAAGTTCAGCTGGTTTGATGTTTCCCCTTCAGTAAAGGTTAAAGCCCTCTTTGCCCTGAACTAAGGTATAGCTGTCCAGAGAGATGCTATTTCTATGTTATTTTTGTGAACTGCACTGAGAATGTAAGTTGCACATTCTTTCCTGAAGAATCTTTGAGAGCGTGTGTGCCAACAGATTTAAAAATCTAAATGCCATTTTATCTCTAATTCTACTCTTAGAGAATTCTCCTAAGGGACCAATGAGAAAGTCTCATATAAAATTAGTTAAGTCACAGTGAAACCCTTTAATATGTAAAATTAATATGCATTAATAGTTATAATTTTAACAAAGGAATTCTTGGTTAGAATAAACAAAAAATGGTTTAAAATATAAGAAAAATAAGTTTAATAGAAATGGTAGGCATTGTATAATTTGATAATCTAATGGTAAGTGAACAGTTGCTAGGTTATGCCCATCAGTATGAGACTAATGATGCTGTTCGCTCAGACTATACTGTGGTCCTCTTGCTGTAGCTAACCTCCTGACTACAGAGTTCATGTGTGTGCCACCACACCCGGCTTACAATCCTGGCTGTCCTGGAACTTACTTTGTAGACCAGGCTGGCCTTGAACTCACTGAGGTCCTCCAGCCTCTGCCTCCCAAGTGCTGGGATTAAAGGTGTACACCATCACTGCCTGGCTATACAAAGGATTTTTTTAATAATAGGGAGAAAGCAATGTAAAAGTAATGTTAGGTTAAAAAAAAAAGATACAAGATAGGTACATATTCTACCACTTAATAATTTGTAAGTGCATATTTCTTTTTTTCTGGTTTTTTTAGTTTTTATTTTATGATCATTGGTGTTTTACCTTCATGTACGTCTGAGTGAGGCTGTCAGAAGTCCTGAGACTGGAGTTTCAGACAGGTGTGAGCTGACATATGGGTGCTGGGACTTGAACCTGGGTCCTCTGAAGAGCAGCCGGTGCCCTTAGCCACTGATCCATCTCTCTAGCTCCATTAGGGCATATTTCTAATTCTGAAGAAGTTGGGAAAAAACTCCTGATGGGTTGGTAGAGGTGCATGGTTTTATCTCAGCCCTCGGGAGGCAGAGGCAGGCAGATCTGAGTTCAAGGACAGCCAGAGCTACACTGAGAAACCCTGTTTCGACACTCCCTTCCTCCAACAGGGAGAGCTTTTATGTCTACACTTGTCTCCATTTTCCACATCAGACATGCTTTACTTCGGTAACTGGGAGGAAGAATTAAGTGCTGTGTCTCACACGAGGCTCTCAGTCCGGGTTTTGTGAGAACACTGAGTGCTGCTGGTGCGCTCAGTGCAGTCGGCTGAGCCAGCTGAAGGACTGGGCCGAGAGCTGCAGCACTGGCCGCTCACTGGGCCTGCGCTGGCCCCAGAGGAGCTCTGGCTAATTTACTGTTTGCTTTGGGCGGCAGTCTGCCTTCCCTTGGTTCTCACTAGCTCTTAACCTCCTTTGTAAAAGTTAAGCATTTCCCTTTATTTGCGGACCTGAGAAGATTTTTTTTTTTTATGTCCTCCTAGGTTGCCTGTGGCTACGCACACACATTAGTACTAACAGATGAAGGTCAAGTGTACGCTTGGGGTGCAAATTCATATGGCCAGCTGGGCACTGGCAATAAAAGTAACCAGTCCTATCCTACCCCCGTTGTTGTGGAAAAGGACAGGTAATGTGTACATTTCTAAATCACTTCCATGGTCTTAGTAATTAACAGCACTGGGAATTCATAGTGTGGAACTATGGGGAATTAATTACTCTTAGCACTAAAGTAATCTTTAGCTAGGTTGCTCATTCTTTTTAAAAGTTGAGCTGTGGATTGCTGGGGAGGCGGCACTCCTGTTTGCTCTCACCTGCAGTCATCTGTGCCTGCAGGGCTGCTCTGTGCAGTCTCCGGGGGCTGAGCGGTCTTCTCGGTGCTCTCCCCCTTGACTTTTGTTTTTATCCCCAAAGGGAAGTTGGTGATGTCTGAGATCTGTCTTCTGTGGCTTGGGAAATCTGTGGTACGCTGAGTGCAGTATGAAGCTAGTTCTTAGCTTTTTATCAGATCTGCCAGTGAGAAGGGCAGGGTGATCTCGTTGTTTTCCCTTCAAAACTCTCGCTGTGTAGCGGAGTGAAGTGCTAGAAACTGTGGACGCAGTTTTGTGTACCTATGTAATTTCCAGATTATCCGAATGATTTTGAAAGCCTCTGAGTTCCTCATGCAGTCACGTCACTGCCTTTCCCTGTTGTGTTGTCTCGGTGGTGGCACACAGACATTACGGTACTTCCCCTAGCCAGTGATGCTGTCACTATAGAAATTAATATGCCCTTCCTGTTTATCACATATAGTATTTTTATATTTGACTTAAAATAAATGTATGGATAACAGATTAGCTAACATTTAGGTACTTCATTTATTTCCTCATTGGGATTCTTAATAAATTGTCATTTTTATCTATATAGTGTAAACATGGTTAATTTTATATAACCTGTATATATCTGGAAAAAAAACCTATTTTAAACTAAAAATTTGAAGGAGTCTGGTCTACAGAGCGAGTAGAGAAAGAAAAAAAAGAAAATAGGACCTTTGATTCCTTAAATGGGGGCAGGAGCTGGAGCATAGATGCCTTTTACTCTGTCATTTGCTCATCTTGTAAGTATCCCAAGAGGTCAATGAAAACAGAAGCAATAGTCACTCACAGCCAAGTCACTATAAATATACTGTCAGTATCTCGGTGCCCAGTCTGAACCCCAGTTCTGAAGGTCAGACAGAGCGATGTACACTCCTTCCTGAAGCCCAGTTCCAAAGGTCAGACACAGGGATGTGCATAGGAGAGTGACTCACTGCTCCTTCCCCCTTGTGGTGCTTCCACACTTACCTTAGCATCTTAGTAGTGACCCTATCAGCTTGTATTCTTCTGCTTTCTCTGATCCAGAATGAGGTCACATCTTCCCTGTGTCCCCTCTGGAACAGACTGTGGGCCACTAAGTGGGGGAGGGAGCAGGAAGCTGGAAAGCAGGGAAGGGAAGGATGGGAGAGGGCATCGCTTACCAGGGCTCTGAGCTACCTACCCAGTGTTCTGCGCTGTAAACACTGGGGTTTCTCCTGTGCACTTTGGCCCTTGCTGCTATGACACAGACCAGGGATGGATATTCTGAAAGGATCTTCCTGGTCTGTTTCCCAGCATTGAACTCCAGGTGACAGTTTCTGAGCTCGCACAGGCTCAGTCAGGCCTCAGTTCCTGGCATGTGGCAAATTTGCCAGGACTTGTCCCGCACCTCCTGCCCTTTCCAGTGGCTGAGTCTCAGACATGGGTCATGACTTTCTTCTGACTCTTCTGCGGCTCCTTCTAGAAAAGCCTAATTAGGAATGGGATTGAATTTTGGGTGGGGCAGGGGTGAGTCTGTGGTTGTTAGGTGCCTGTTCAGTGAATGAAAAATAAAATCTACCTACATTGGATTCTCTGCTCAGACAACCAAAGGAAGCTTTAAAAAGGTTAGGCACATGTGTTCTTATTCTTAAGTTTAGCCCAGTATTCTGACTTATAAGGTAAATTAGCCATGCCTTGGACTTTGGTAATTCCATGGGCTCTTGAGGTCTTCAGTAGCCTACTGGGCTTATACAGACCATGACTGGAGTCAGATTCCTAGTCTGTCTTTTCTGGGGGTGCCTTTTCTCCATTGCTCACAACACAAATTACCTCTACCTTTGACCACTGCTGCTGTTTTTATTTGTATTTTCTCTTACGCTCTGCCTTTTCATTTCCAGTATTTCACAGCCATTAAGCTATATGGTGGTGTAAGCCATCCCACTGAGGTGACACAAAACACATATGCAAAAGAACTTGTAGTCATTTCCCCCATCAATGCTGGCTACAGAGTAAGTGTGGCATATGCCAGGGTCTAGCCAATGAAGGTTAGTTAACGCAGTTGGCACCTGTTTACTCTTGCCTGTCAGCCCAGAAAAGTTGAGGTTCAAAATGTGTTTCTTGGTATAAAAGCAGGATTTTTAATATTTATTTATTTGTTTGTTTGTTTGTTTTTTGAGGCCTCTATACAAACTTGCAGGTGGCTGTAGCAATGAAATACATTCTGTTCCCTCAGGAATTCTTTGTTTTTCTTTTCTTTCTTTATTTCTTTTTTTGAGAATTTGATATATTTTATTATATTCTTCCCTCTCCTCAATTCCTCCCAGGTCTCCCTCCTCTGCCTTGATACCTACCTATCTTTGTTAGGGTTTGCTATAAAGAGACATCATGACCATGGCAACTCTTATAAAGGAGAACATTAATTGGGGCTGGCTTATAGTTTCAGAGGTTTAGTTCATTATCATCATGATAGGACATGGTAGCATGCAGGCAATAGGAAGTGGTCTGAGACACTGGATGTAGCTTGAGCATATATGAGACCTCAAAGACCACCCCCACAGGGACACACCTCTTCCAACAAGGCCACACCTACTCCAACAAAGCCACACATTTCCTAATAGTGCCATGCCCTATGACCTTATGAGGACCAATTATATTCAAACCACCATACTGCCCAACTTCATATTCTTTCTCTCTTAAAAAACAACAAACCAAAATCAAATTGCACACTTTTAGACACAGACACACACACACACACACACACACACACACACACACACACACACACACATGAAAAGACCAACCTGGCCTAAGCCTGACCTCAGGAGAAAGAGCAAGAATAGCTCGCTGATGCTCACAGGAAGGTGGCATGGATGCTCCTCTAACTCAGAGAAAGCTGTGGCTTTACTACTGATAGTTAAGATGTTTACATGAAAAAAGAAACACAAGAAAACCCCGAAACTTATTAACTGCTTAGCTGTGTGTATGTGTGAGCCTGCCACAGCGCTGCTTCAGCTCCCAGTGCCATGGGGTTGGGGTTTTCAGGGCTCATACCCCAGGGGCTGCCCTGATTCTACTTGGTGACAAGGCTTGGCCGTGGTGTACCCTGCCTTGGGTCCTCCCACCCAGCCTCCCAGGCTGTCCTTTCTCTCCCTCACCATCTGTTGTGCAGATTGTCCTTCTTTCCCTGTTGAGAGCTCTTTCCCACTCCCCTGCCACTTTACATCCTGATGGAACTCATAGGCCTTTGTTGGAAGAGACAACATGGCTCCTAGCAAACCCCGCGGCTCACTACCCCCCAGACAGACTTGTCTGTTCCCTTACATACTCCTGTCGATGCCTCCCACCTGCCCTGCTGTGCCTGCCTCTGCTACTGTTTGACTATATGTTTGTCTCTGACTCACAGCCTCTGTGTTCCTCTGACAAATTCACAGCCTGCTGGACTCCGTAGCTCTCAAATCTGCTCTTACCCAGCAGAGCTGGCGGACAGCCATACTCTGGTCTGCAGCTTCTCTTCATATGGATGGCGAGCTCCCACGGTCAGCCTCTGTAACTCCTGCAGGCAGCAGCTGTTAAAATGATCTTAGTCATGGAAGAAGCTGTTCTTGATGGCCTACTCTTTGGGAGAGGGGGTCTTGCTTCATCTCTCCTGGACACTGCAGCTAAGACAGGGACTGCTTTGCAGCCTGTGCCCTGTCTGAGTGGTGCATTTTGCTCTCTCCATCTTATTTTTTTTTCTTTAAAGATAATACAGTTGATTATAAGACTTTAAACAATTTGGCTTATACAAACTACTGTTGCCCCAGAGCTAGTGTTGTGCACAACCCGGGATGCTCTGAATGACTGGCATTGAGGCCCTTGTATCTTCTGTGAGGTGGGAAAACTGCCAGGAAATTGATGGGGGCAGTGGACACATTTATCTTCTAGGTGAATTGTATTGGCTGACTCTCTGTTAAAAACATGTATACTTACTAGAAAGCCAGATCATGTGGACCTTTTCCCCATTGTGCAAGGCTGTTCTGCAGAGCACGAGATATGGCAGTAAATTACTGACACAACCACGCAAATATTAGAAGAGACTAGGCAGGGTCTGCCATACCAACACAAATGTACCGTTTCTACACGAGACATTTTCATCGAAAGCTGCATGGAGATAGTTTTAACTAAACAACCAGAGGTCATTGCTTTGTCCTGCACAATCCCTGTCCAAAGCTAAAAGTCAAAATGGAATCTCTTATGCTAAAATTTCAGGCATGAAACTGAAAACAAGCTATTTATCTAACCTGAGGGATCAGAATTTTTAAAAAAAATAGCCAAATTTCCCAAGGAGGCACATTGAAATCGCGTGACACTGCGGCTCCCTGTTTTAGCTGTTACGAGAAGGGTCACTTGATGTCACCTGGGCACTCCTTTCCGTGGTTTTGACGGGGGAAACAGCTGAACTGACGACTGTCTCCTATGATCAACTGGTTTCTGCTTACTTCCGTCACTCCTTCTGTTTACAGCCTCCTTTGGCTCAGCCCACGGGACCTTTATTTTGTGGAGTGTGACTGCCCAATTGTCGAAGTGAAAAGAGAGCTAATTAAGGTTGCCGAAGAAGTTCTGATTTGGGCCTTTTCTGGCAGCAGCAGTAGAGAGGCCCTTATTGTACGGATTGCCCAGCATATGCCGTTTATCATTAATTCTCACATTAGATGAAACCAAGACTCTTGGAGCCAGGGGTCATTCAGTATAGGGCATCCTCCTTAGTATGCATGCACAAGGCCCCAGATTCTTTCATTACAGGGCATCCTTTTAGCATGCAGAAGGCTCAGGGTTGATCTCTGTCATAAAAAAAAGTTAGAGTTTATTGTGAGGAGTAGAAGCTAGCATGACATTCAGCCCTCTTCCTTTAAAGTGACTGAAGGTTTGGTTGTGGTGAGAGGGATAAACCCTGGGCAGCTTTCCTGCCGAGCTAGTGCTATGTGCTGAATCCCACCCAGCCTGAGTTTTCTTTATTCCCAGGTTAGATGGTCTATGTTTATTATCTAGTTAGTAATGTTTTAAAGCATTCACACTTTAAACTCAAAAGCAGGATGGTATTTTTAAGGCCTGTTGGTAACCACTCCTCATGGGTTATAAATGCCATTGAAGTATGGCTCCAGTATTTGGTGGCTAAACATTTAGGAAGTAAGGTGTCCAGGTCTTGCTTTGTTTTTTCTTTTTGTCCCTTGGGCCCACCCACTCCTTTTAGTTAGTTAGCTTACTATACTGAGTCGGGTGCACCCGGAGGGAGGGGGGCAGCTCCTTTCCCTCCTGCTTATGGTATCCCTGTGGTGTCTGCTTGTGCTTAGGATCATAGAGATTGCAGCCTGTCATTCTGCCCACACATCTGCCGCCAAGACCCAGGGTGGGCACGTATACATGTGGGGCCAGTGCCGTGGCCAGTCAGTGACCCTTCCCCACCTCACCCACTTCTGCTGCACCGACGATGTGTTCGCCTGCTTTGCCACCCCTGCCGTCACCTGGCGCCTTCTCTCTGTGGGTAAGCTCGTCCTTGTCCATTTGGGGCATGTCCTGAGAATTAGGAAGAGGACTGGGGTATGTCACTGGGTGCAGGATCTATGCACTTCCTTTCTGTGGGTCCCTGGGGAAGGGAACTAAAACTCCTGGGAACCAACCCGACACTAATTAAAGATGATTTGATTTGATTGCTTTTTACTGGAAACTGCGTCTTTTATTTTTAGCTAGAAACATTCTAAACATGCAGAAATTCTAAAATCTTATGCAGTTAGTGAAAGAGTTGGAAACAGTTTTGATTTTGCCAAATTTACAATGAACATTCAGAGATGGGAATCTGTATTCAGGGGTAAAAGCCTGTGTAGCTGGTCAGTTGTTCGGGGGAGTGAGCATCTCCTGAGTGCCCAGAGAGCAGGGTCTCCTTGCCTTCGTGCCCAGCTGTCTGTGGATGAACCTGGAAGTCCTGTGTTGCTCTCCTAGAACCTGATGACCACCTCACTGTGGCTGAGTCACTGAAGAGGGAATTCGACAACCCTGACACTGCAGACCTCAAGTTTCTGGTTGATGGAAAATACATTTATGCTCACAAAGTCCTTCTCAAAATTAGGTAAGAGTGACCAGCACACTGGCTCTGTGGGTAATGGTGCTCGTTACCCAGCAAGTCTGATGACCTAAATTCCCTCTCTGGGTCCTGCATGGTGGACAGAAAGCTGTCTCCCATTGATGGCCTCTGCATGCATTGGCACACACACCCTAAATGTTTAAAATAATTAGTAAGAGCTTGTCTCTTTTGAGAATTGAAATTAATTCATTTATCAGTTGTTTCAGCTGTCCAAGGGACTAGGCCAGACACTTGAGTAATTAAGAGGCAGCTTTGTTAAGGCTGTAATTGCCCTTAAAACACAGCGTGGGTGGGGGCCAATGGGACAAGATATGGAGAGTAAGGGAGGCCAATACTGAGTCTGTGTTCAGGGGCAGCCCACATTAGAAAGCCCTGGCTGGGGCTTCTGTCCTTGGTGACTGTGTTTTGTCCTTGGAATAGGGCCAGATGCTCTGATTTACTTTACTGCCTGGGCTAGAATGCATTCCTGAGTGCAGCCATGGAAACCTTTCTTCCTCAGGCTTAGATTTCAGGTGCTATAAAATCAGCAAACAGAAGTGATGGGCAAGGCTTTCGCAGACACGGAGGCCTGGGTGATACCAACACAAAGTCACATTTATTATGTTTAATTCTGAGCACTGAATGCTATCCACTCATCTTTGTTCCGTGCCCATAGTCTGGGAAGCCACCACTTTACCTTCAGATACAGAAAAATGCTGTCAAAGACCCCACAGCCCCATCTTGAGCAAGCACTGATTTTTTTTCTCGCCGTATCTACTTAGCATTTTCTAGAAGTTCGTATATATGTAATTATATGGCATTTCTTGTTTTCTGTCTGGCCTTTTCCTCATTGTATAATGACATGGGATTTTGTTGTCACTGTGTAAAAGATATTTAATCCTCTTTCAGTGACTCACAAACCCAAAATGGCGTTTCAGTCTCCGGTTCCCATTCTGTAAGGTCACTCTCACCACGGAGCATGTAGTTTCATGAAGGAAGTGGGGGCTCAGCGTACGGTGACAGAGCATGTCCACACTTGTGGCCTAGACCATAGCAAGGTGCTCTCTCACAGTAGCAGTGTGGTTTTCCCTCTGGGGCTGAGAACCCAAGTCTCCACTTGAGCTTTGGGTCATGGCAGTCTTTGTCTTTGTCTTTGTCTTTTTGATGCAAGCCATGTGGCATTCTATGTCTGCCTGTGTCTAAATCTCCCCCTTTGTCTGATTGCCTTGGAACCCACCATAGTGACTTGACTTTCCTTGATGACTTCTGTAGAGAGCCTGTCTCCAAATAAGGTCACATTGTAAGTTAGCAGAGGTTACATCATCAACACAGGAACTTTTAGGGGATGTAATCCAGACTGAATGGAGTAAAGAAACAAAATTATTCAGTTATTAAGACAATGCTGATTAGTAAAGATAGTCTGAGAAAGACGCCAGAGGTCCCTGCCATGTGTCCCCCAGTTTAGTTGTAGAGACAGCTCCCTGGGCTGCCCATAACAGCAGCAGGCTGCATTTGCAGTCTTGCTGATTAAGCAATTAAAAACTTCAGGGCAGAGAAGCAAACAAGGAGCCAAGGCAAGGATGATGTTTTCGGCAGTGTCCTGTCGCTATTCTAAAGTACCTGAAAAGATTAACTCCCAAAGGTTATTTACTTAGTGCTTGGTACTGCTGAGCTGTTACTTCATCTTGAAAGCTTATCCTGGCTCAGGTTTGATTTGGAAGTTTCGTTCTATGATTGGTTTGCTCCATTGTTTGGGGCCTCTTGAAAGGCAGCGTATCATGGTAGCAAGTGCCTGGTGGAAGAACATTGCTAACACCACAAGGCGGGGATCAGAAACGAGCATGAGTTCCACAGATCCCTGTGGGTACATTTCCCCAGTGACTGAAGACCTCATGGTCGCCTTCTAAGATTGTCACCCTGGGACCAGGCTTGGAAGGATAGGCCCTCAGGGAACACCCAGTATCTAACTAGCAAATAGGAAGGTATACAGTGTCAATAGAAAGTCCTCAAGCAGTCCTTTGACTCCGGGCCTGAACCTGGAATATGATCTTTCTTTCTTTTTCAGGTGTGAGCATTTTCGTTCTTCATTAGAAGACAGTGAAGATGATATTGTAGAAATGAGTGAATTTTCATATCCGGTGTTCCGAGCTTTCCTGGAATACCTATACACAGATAACATCAGCCTATCTCCTGAGGAGGCAGTAGGTAATCACCACAGACATTACCAAGAAATTGGCAAAATTCTGAGTAATTAGGAAGGCAGACTTCTTTCCAACCCAGAAGAAAGACATGGTGGCCACTTGTAGGAGCTCTTCTGTTGATGTTGAACGGAAGCTTTTCTCTGTGGTGTTCAGATGGAACACTTGGCCTTGCTCACATACAGCTGGGCTACACTCTCAGGTCCTGAACCCAAGCTTCCCTTGTTGCTGCTGTAATGAAGGTTGAGTAGTTAGATCCAGTAAGAGGTCAATAAAATGCACGAGCGCACACACACACACACACACACACACACACACACACACACACAGGTCTCCACTGAATTATTTAAAGGAGATGACACCACCAAAGGAAACAGCATCTCCAGCTCACTTGGAGAAATAAATGAATCAGTATATGCGGGATGAACCTAGGTCATGCACAGGGAAAATAACCCAGCAGAGAGAATGTAAGAGTCACTAATTAAAGAGAAGAAAAACATTAGCAAGTGACAGGGTGCCCAGGGCCAGAGCATGTCACCCTCATTAAACTCTGGGTGAGTGTTGAATAAGAGCAAACCAGAGCAGTTTTGAATGTGGCAGTGCGAGCCACTTCATGTGTGGGAGGAGTCAGCGTGGGATGGTGCAGGAATTGAAGGTGGGGCTCGAGCCTGAGCATGTGCAGCGTGTCACTGACACCCGGAACCCCAGCCTGCCTCTGCTCTCTTTCTAGTTCTGTGACAGCATGTGTGCTGATGGCTGTGGCCTCGAAGATTCTGTGCAGGCGAGGGCAATTAAAAGAAACACCATCTTGTTTTGTTTCTAGGAAAGCCATTCAAGCCATTCTTAATGTTACTCCTGTTTTCAGTAGCTTTTTCCTGGTCGCTTAGCTGCCTTCTTAGGAGCTGCACTGTCCACGTGACCAGTTAGTGCCACAGAGAGCTAGCCCATGTGCTCACGTTCTTTGAACACTGGGGCTGAGTTCAGGTGCTCAGAGTGCACAATAAATGCTCCTTTTCCTCAGGATTGCTAGATCTGGCCACATTTTACAGCGAAACTCGGCTGAAAAAGCTCTGTCAGCAGACCATCAAGCAGGGGATCTGTGAGGAGAATGCGATCGCTCTGCTCTCCGCTGCTGTGAAGTACGACGCTCAGGTACGAATGACAAATACCACAGAATCGCAAGTTATGTGTTACCACTGTGCCTTAAAATAAGCTCTAGGTAGATGAAAATGGAGCATACGAAAAGAAACAAAAGTACTACAAAAAGTGTGTGGTATAAAAATGTAACTCAGTAATATCAAAGGAAGACACTACAAAAGACTGGTGGACCGGATTTCCAGCGATTAAAATCTGTATATCTCAAGTGTGAAATGACTTGCAGGTAAAGGAGCTTGCTGCCAGACCTAGCAGTGTGAGTTCAGTCCCAGCACCCACATGATGCGAGCAGAGAACTGACTCCAAGTTGCCCTCTGACCTCCATATATGTGCTGTGATGTGCACCATGTACAAGCACACACACACACAAATAAATTCATAAGTAAATGGTATGTTGAAAAAATATTTTTATAACATACAATAAAGCAAGTACTTCACAGTAAAAAAGGAAAAGAAAACATAGGCAATTTGGGGGAAAACTGGACCAAAGACCAGAAAAATGTAAGTATACCTGGAGGAGCTGGGAGATGACTCTGTCATTAAAGTGCTTAGACTTGCATCGGGAGATTAGATGCAGTTTTTATTTCCTCCTGTTTGCCCTTTTCCTGAACTTTCTCCACTGACTGTATTGTCATGATAAAGAAAGGAAGAGCTGAATCTGTAGGAAACAGGCTATAACTTCTTGGAGTCAGTTTCCTCTGGGTGTAAGGATATCCTCTCCTGATTTAACACACAAAGACTGAAAAAGAGAATGCCTTTTTCCTTTTTTGTAAACAGTATCATGCTTATGTAGGAAATTCTAAGTCTGAGGGAGGAAGCGATGTGTAGAGCAGACATAACAACTGTCCTCTGTCATAGGGCATGGCTGCCATCCCCACCCCTCCAACCCTCACCCCCTGTCAGAGCTTGATCTTCTTTCCTTTACTTTCTATTAAAAACTTTTTGGGTGGTTCTGGGCATTAAATCCTCGGGCTCCTCCGTGTCTTGAATAGGCTTGAGCCACTAGGCCTGACTTGTATATATTTCTAAATACTCAATGTTTCATTTTTCATTCAGTATTTAAATAAAAACAAAAAATATCCATCTGCATCCTCTTGGAATGGCAGTGGTAGAAAGTGTCCAATGAGGAGGCCATGTCCACCAGCAAGTGGTAAGGGTAGACTTGCCCAAGTCATTGGCTATAGGAGTGATGAAAAGTGGTTGGATTGTAACTCTACTTCAAAACTAGAGGCAGTAAGATTTGTTGTTATGGGGTGGGAACCAGGAAGGACAGTTTAAGAATCATGCCCAGGTTTTTGGTCTGAGTAACTAAAAAGGTGAGCTCTCTTACTGTGAGGTAGAGGATGGCAAGGGGCACCAAGCTGGGCAGGATAGATGAGAACAGCATTTTAGGAGAAGTGCTTATAAATCTGGTTTCAAAGATCTATGAAACATCAGGAAAGACCCTGAGTAAGGAGTGAGTAGCCCAGTCTAGAGTTAGACCATGTACTGAGAGCTGTGAGCAACTGTATTATGAGACAGACAAGGAAGTGTTGGGCATTCAATGTCAAAAGTTAAGATTTAGATAGGGGACACCAGCAAAGGATACTACAGGTAAACAGTACCAGGGTAAAGCCATTCCATGGGAGTACTTTTTAATTTTAATATAGAGCGAAAAGCAAAATTTCACATACTTAGAAATATACAAGTCAGTCCGCATAGTTCAGGAGGTGATACCCTGGATACTAGAGAAGACGTGAGTTTTAGGAAGCCCTAGTGAGCCGATGTATGCTCACATCTGCCAGTGTGATACAGAGTGATACATCCCCGCAGGAAGGCCTGAGTGGAGAATGGAAGAGGAGGAACTGGGGATCCAGAGATAGCATTTCCTGGTGATTTTCTGAGATTTGATGGGACACAGTTTGGAGTGCCAGTTGAGATAAATCAAAGCATGTTTGTGTAGAAAGGGGAACAATACATTGAAAAGCAAGCTGATGGGGACAGTTGCTTTAGCAGGTCCTTGAAGGCAGGCAGTGTGGCCTGATGATAGAGTGAGGATGATTATTTCTATCATGGACCCCCAAAAGGGGCGTGTCCACAGGTATGTAATAAGAGGTAAGGAGATGTGAGGGGAAGGGCTTTATGGAGCCTCTTCTGAGGAAAGCAGGAAGTCATGTTCACTTAGAATGAGAAAGGAAGTACTTGGACAAAGTATGAGTCTTGAGGGAGAAGAATGAACAGGGAACCATGGCATCTGTATTTGCCTGACAGAACTAAGAGACCTTGTTAAGATGAGGCTGTGTAAAGCAGTAGCATTTAAATAGAGAAAGTGTTTGGAAAATAATAAAAGACTTGTCTTATAGAGAGACAGAACTCTCTGATACGTTTATTGAATCTCAAGAACTCTTTCTGAGTAGTATTCTTAAAATAATTATAGGAAGTTCCCAGTTCAAAAAGTAAAAGAAGATGAATCTACGTGGTAGTTTCTGAGGGTCATTTTGCTTTCCTGGTAATTAGCAACTCTTCTGACACTGTCTGGGTCTCTAAGATATGGATGTGCTCAGCTGTCATCCACAGACAGCATCAGTACTGATGTGGGCAGGCATCCCTCTATCATTCTATAGGCTCAGCCTATGAGGTGCCCCCCGTCTTGTTTGATCTCCTGTGCCCCGCTGTTGAGTGGCTCTTGAGGTATTTGGTTCCTATCTAGACAACACATCTTTGTTGTCGTGTGGGTACATGCTTATTTCAATTTGTCTCCGAGCGCTCACATGGGACTCCAGCTGCCTGCCAGTCTGTTGTGGGACAGAGTGATTGCACTTCCTTTGTGTAGCTGGTTTCCTTTCTTACAAGGGAAATGTCTTGTGGGTTTGTGTGCATACTGGCATGGCTGCCAGTGTTTTCTGTTGCTGATAATCTCAGTCTGCATTCATCTTCAGTGTTTGCTAGAGTTTCTATGTGTTTAGAGAAAAGACTATAGTGGGCAATGTACATATATAATATCTTGGTAACTGTTGGGAGCTTTGTATTTTATAAAATAGCTTCAACAACACAGAGACACAAGTTTAAAATTAGAACATGAACAGGTCTCCCTTGTCCTAGGTCAGATCACACCTGGGCGTAGAACACTTACCTAAGTAAGCCTAGTCTACACAAGGCTTTGAGCTCATTCCTCAGTATTGATTTTATATAAATTTAAGTACACATATTTATATTGAAATATGTAAATATATATATATGTACATATAAAAATTATTTTAGTTCTGAAGATTGAACCCAGAGCCTCACATATGCCAAGCACACACTCTGCTGCTTAGATTCTGCCCGGGTTAAGTTTATTGAAGGTGTAATGTGATGAAGTGCGCCCATCGCATCCGTTGTCATGCAGAGAAACAGTAAGTGTGCTAATGACTGGGGTCCTGGCGTGGCCAGTTGTCTCGTGTCTCCCTTTCCCACAAACTCTTCATAGACAGAAGCATTTAAAAACACCAGGAGCACAGTGCTTTTAACAAATATGGAGAGGGGAATGAATGACTGACATGTACTGTTGTCAGGGAAGGTGTCTATGCCTAGATACTTCTCTCTGAAGGAAAGGCTAGATGCTGGGCCCTGGCCACCGTACTTTTCTGTTATTTACACTTTCGAAACACGAACTAATTGTAGCAATATAGTTGCTGTAACTGTACTGCTCTGCTAATAATTCCCTCCTACTGGTTGTCAAATCCTTTTTCTGAGAGAAATTCTCTTGCCTTGGTCCTTACACTGGGGATACAAACTCATTAAACTGTTGCTGTTGTTCCAGGATTTAGAAGAGTTCTGCTTCAGATTTTGTATAAATCATCTGACTGTAGTAACACAGACTTCAGGATTTGCAGAAATGGACCATGATCTTCTGAAGAACTTTATCAGCAAAGCCAGCAGAGTTGGAGCCTTTAAGAACTGATCCCTGATATCGAAAGGGATGTTTAAGGCTTTCCGTGTTACCCCTGCAAAATAAATAAATAAAACATTTAAAAAAAAATAAAGGCCACTGAGAAACAACTTTTCTGTAATTAACAGTGTTGAGTTACATCTGGCCAAATTCTTATGTTCTGTCAGAAGGACGCAGTCAGGCTTCTCCATCTACCTGACCTGGAGTTTACAGTGGAAGGCTCTGAGTGCTAGATTAGGTATGACACACTCAAACACGGAAAAGATGTACCTGGCCTCATGCCTCCCTCTCGCTTCTTGGTTAGGGGTGGAGCTTTGTGTCAACTTCCCCTTCTCCAGCCAGGAGTCTGTCTTGAGCTGGCGCAGGCCTTGTGCATGCTGTCAGTCTCCGGTTTCATATGTGCATTCACTCTATTGTGTCAGCGCAGGCCCCATACTCAGGTGTAGCTGCGTAGCATAACTAGATTCCATGGCTCCATCCTTTTATGTTGTTTTGTTTTGGTATTTTTTTGTCATTCTGATTGGTTGTTTTCTTTTCTTTTTTTTTTTTTTTTTTGGTTTTTGGTTTTGTTTGTTTTTATTTTTTATTGAAAATTTCCGCCTCCTCCCACTTCCCTCCCCTACCCCCTCCCCCTCCATCTCCAGTCCAAGGAGCAGTCAGGGTTCCCTACCCTATGGGAAGTCCAAGGTCCTCCCTGTTACCCCCAGGTCCAGGAAGATGAGCATCCAAACACACTAGGCTCCCACAAAGCCTGTCCATGCAGTAGAATCAAAACCCAGCACCATTGTCCTTGGCTTCTCCGTCAGCCTCCACCGTCAACCACATTCAGAGAGTCCGGTTTGATCACATGCCATCAGTTCCAGTCCAACTGGCCTTGGTGAGCTCCCATTAGATCAGTTCCGCCATCTCAGTGGGTGGACGCACCCCTCACGGTCCTGACTTCCTTGCTCATGTTCTCCCTCTTTCTACTCTTCCTATCTTCATATGGACCTTGGGAGCTCAGTTCAGTGCTCCAATGTGGGTCTCTGTCTCTATCTCCATCCATCGCCAAATGAAGGTTCTATGGTGATATGCAAGATATTCATCCGTGTGGCTATAGGATAAGGCCAGTTCAGGCACCCTCTCCTCTGCTGCCCAAGGAACAAGCTGGGGACATCTCCTTGGACACCTGGGAACCTCTCCAGAGTAAAGTCTCTTGCCAACCTTAAAATGGTTTCCTTAATTATATCTACTTCCCTGCTCCCTCTTCCACCCCTCCTCCATCCCAACCATCCCATTCCCTTAAGCTCTCCCCATCCTCCCCTTCTCCCTTCTCTCTCTCCATCTCCCTGTATCACCCTACCTCCACGCCCGTGCTCCCAACCCCTGTCCCGCAATCTTGTCCACTTTCAATATCCAGGAGGATCATCTCCTAGATGATGTCTGATGTGAAGCATCATTGCGTGTGCTCATCTGCTTGTTTGGTGATCTATCTGGATAAGCTTAAGCTCATTTTAAAATGAATTTGTTTTCATTGAGCTTTAAGATTTTTTTTGTACATTCTGGATAACAGTCCTTTATCAGATGTATTGTTTGCAACATATTTTCCCGAGTCTGTCACTCTATCTCCTCTCCACCTCTTCTTTAAAATTCTTACTTATGTTTCTGTATAACCCAAGCTGCCTCCCACACATACCTTTGAGACCCGGCTTCCGAGAGCAGTGCTCACAAGCATTTGCCACCATGGTCAGTTTTGTGCTGGTCCTGCGGTTCTGTTTTTCTGTTTTTCCACCCCTGTCTGGTGGAGGCAGTGCAGAACCTTCTGAGGCCCAGTCCCTTCTAGAGCTCCCAATCCTCACTAACTTGCTATTTATTATAAAAGAGCCTCCTTGTCATTTATTTTCATGTTTGGATGAATTACTGCTTGTCAACAAAGAAGGGCCTGCAGCCACCAGTTGGCAGCTAAATAACCACCGACTGTCTCCTCTAGATCTTTCTTTGTGCACTACTGTGCTAGTTGCTTGTAAGGCTTCACAGTGTCTCCCGTTTCTGACAGAGTATCATAAAACACAAGTTTTTAAACAAATTCATTTCACAAAAACTGAGGCAAAAGGGAGTAGAATTAATATATATGTAAATAATATGTGATATCACACCACACACACACACACACACACACACACACACACACACGGGCCTAAAAGCACATCTCTGTAATTCTGATCATCAGAATGAATGAGAAGTTAGGAGAAAGCTCATATACAGAAAACACTTAGTACAGAGACCATACCACACCACTAAGGCTCTTAACAACTAGTTTATTTTAAAATAGACAAACTATTATAGAAAATAGGGACATAGCAATTTTGAATGTATAGTTTTAACCAGTACAAAAACAAAACCAACGGTGCAGCGTCTGCACCCTTAAGAAATCTCAATACAGGATCTTTGAAAATTCCTATAATTCTGTCACTAATTCTAACTTGAACTTACTAGCAAGAGACCTAGAAGTATGGTAAGCCCTTGACCTAAAACCTAACTAATCTGTATGATGTTCATGCAAAACTTAATGAAGAAATGAGGAAAGCTGTCTATTGCTTTTGTTATCGAGATAACTATCAAACTAGTAAAACTGAAACTAAATTGAGGAAAAAATAAAGTTTGTTTTCTAACAAGATCAGATTTCTTTTCAAAAAGTATGGCGTTTAGAAAAAGTGATTTTCTTAAATGCTAGCTGACGCTACCTTAAATATCACCTATTTTAAATTATACCATCTCTAAATAAGTTAATCCCACAAGACAATTTAAATACACCTTTAGGTGGAGGGATGAAGGGAGTGCCTCTGTTTTCAATGCAGCTATTTTAATCTGAAGCGTTTGCACAGAATCAGAGCATTAATGCCTAACTTATAAACACCTTTGATTACTTGCAGTAATGTTGGAGTAGAAATAGTGTGGCTTTGAATGAGCCAGTGTTATTAGACCAGATTAACTTAAAAAAAATGGATAATTGCCAGTTCAAAAGATACCTGGAAGACATGTACCATTCCAGAAAAACAAAACTTCCCCAAGTTTAGAAGAGCAGAATTGCTGAGGTGCAACTGGACACTCAGCTCTATGAGGGAGAAATGGAGGCTCCTAGAACTACACATAACAGTCTGCTTGTGGACAAAATTGATTTCTATCTTGATTCTTCAGGACCCAGAAACATTAGAAAGTGCACTTGGGTTGTACTGTACTAGGGTCCTCTGCAGCACAGTTGTGGCCAGACTTGACTTTCAAGTACTACATGGGTACTTACAGATTTAGTAATCTTAATGATTAAAAGGAAAAAAAAACCTGGAGTATTATCAATAATCTTCAGTTAAAGCATGAGTTGGATGAATAAAAGAATCAATTCTTACAGGTTCTGAGGTATGAAATCTGTGTCAGTAGTAAGACAGTATCATATGTTTATACCTTTTTTTGCTTGTATTTCAAAGGTAAAATATGTAAAACAAACACACAGTACATTAGATTCTAGTATTACAATAAGCCCAATGTGTAGAAATTACTTTTCTGTGGTTTTTTAACAATCTGTGTCAGTAGGACAGTCAAGATAATTTGGTTGAATGTGGACAGTCAATCAACTTGCATCTGGAAGACAGGACACATTTTTTAAGGGTATTCACGTTAAATTAAAAAAAATACATATAAATTAATAAAACCAAGAGCAAACATCACACATGTGCCACGAGGAAAGGCAAAGTAGTCAGCCAGGCGTAAGGGGCTGCAGGACCCCTCTCCAGAGGCAGCCTCACTTCTGAGGGCAGCAGGCTCACACTGGAAATGCAAACAATCTGCTTTCATGTTTTAAATGGCATGATCTGCACAGGATTCTCAATCCTGTGTGCTATCAACTCTATACCATTGATTACAACATTGAAGTGGCTTAGGAATCATCCACACAAATATTCAGCTTGTACCTGCACATTTTATATCTACAACATGAGTAAACACGGCCATTAGCAGAACCTGGGAGCTACAGTCACATCCATGAAACACAAGTCAGGTGTCCCCAGGGTCCACAGTGTCCACGGTCCTGAGATCCTCACTTTTCCTCCTTGTTTGAGATATCCATGATATCATTCATTTTCTGCTTTTGCATTCGTGTTCGAGTAGAAGCTGAAAAAACACAACAAAGAATATTAATAGTGCTGAAGATGCTGGGTAAGTGGACCACGGGCTACTACATCTGCCTGCTCACGTCAAGCAGCTAGAGCACGGAACCTTGCAATAGGGGTCTTTTTGGTTTCCATATGGGGTATTGCTACACGGCCCATACTTTTCTTGGACTCATGTTCCTGTCTAGGTTACCAAGTGCTGGTATTATCATGTCTACCTAACTTTTTAAAAGCCAGACTCCCCAGTTAATCTCTTTTCCTCATGCTATACCACCAGAATATGTCTGTCTGTATGTATGTATGTCTGTATTGCATGTATATATGTATAAATTATAAAGTAAACCTGGGCAGAGTTGGATAAGGGTAAAATGATAAAAACATCACACAACACTCTAAAACTGCAATAAATAAAAATATATAATGTGTACCTCAAATAGCATTTTAAAAATACCATTTCTTTGTGACTCACCCCCAATACAGCCATGCACATTCCTACTGTTCCTCACTGCAAACCACTAGTCTAGAGATACTGAAGTCAAGTCTGGCCACTTAAACCACAGCTCCTGGCCCGCAGAGTGAGTGCTGTATTTTCCATAAAGGTAGGCATTCCCCTGACCCCAAAACCTTTTTATTTTCCCCTTTTTGAGATAGTTTAAACTGGGCATGAACATTTTAAAAATAATTGTTAATTATAATATGGTCAAAACAAGAACACTTAAATTATTAAAAACAAAATAATTTTTTACTGAAATGAAACATAAAAATGATGTTTTTATATATAAAATAAAATAGAAGTTAAGACTGTCTAGGGAAACAAATGAGAAGAGGAAGAGTCACCAAAGGGAGGGTAGGAGGGTGACATGCTATGCTGCTAGAGCTGGAAAGACGGCTCAGTAGTTAAAAGTACAAGCTGCTCTTGTATTCCCCATTCCCAGCACCCAAGCCTGGAGC